CAAAAAACACAATGTGAAGTCCACTTTGGGGCAAAATCTTGCGTTATGATCGGGGGGGCGCCAGAACTTTGTTTTGCTTGTTTGACAAGAACGGCGGGAGTGCCCGCATATTGCCTGCTGTCCGCAGGGCCAGCATCCCTGCCAAAAAAACAATACAAAATGTTCTTCGAGGCAAAATCTGGATCATGCGCGGGCACCCCGCGATCACTGCGCAGTGGTTCTTGATTGGGAGAGCGGGGGTGTTGGCACATTGTTTGTTATCTGCAGACCAACCAGACGCTAGGATGGCCAGCCGGCCGCGATTGCGCAATGGTTTTCGACAAGGTTGGTGGGGGCCGATACGTTTCACGATGTGTACTGCCACGTGCGCATGCGCACCTGGCACTATGCGCGTGCCCCGAACGTTGCGCACCTGACGCGGCTGGAGCATGCGGCACATATGGCGCACGTGGATCACGTGTCGCATCTGGCGTACCAGGCGTCCCGGCAACCTTGGGCTGCAGGGGTGCCAGGCGCACCTGGTGCGCGTGGCGCGCCTGGCACACATGGCGCACCTCGCCCCCGCGTTGTGCACAGGGGGCCTGTGGTGGTTCTCAGAAGCTGTCCATCCAGAGGCTACCGATGACCACGCTGCGGCTCGGGTGCTACTACTGTGTTGGGAAGGCAGTCCGCGCACAATCGGTCCGTGGACACCTCCTGGTCACCGTCCTGACAGCAGCGCGCTCGCGCCGCGTCCGGCCACAGTGCGGAGGGAAGTCCCACCAGGAGGAGAGGTAGAGTGCAAGAGCAGGCGCGTGGACAGGCAGCCCGCGCTGCCACGCGCCACGCCTTGGTGATCGTGGCGCCCATGTCCGCCATCAGCATCGTGGCCGAGGGGCCCGCGAGGATGCGGGAGAGGTCCAAGACCCTCAGGCCCGCCAAGGGCCCTGTCGCCTTCTCTGCTCTGAGGATGCGGGTCACCGAGAGACTCCTCGCGGGGGGGGGGGGCAGCAGTTTATTCGCCGCTGAGGATAACGACGAGAGAAGAAGAACAGGGAGGGGGGAGGAAGAGAGGAGAAGAGGAGCCGAGAGGAGGACAGAAGGGAGAGAGGAGCGAGGCGAGAGGAGAGAAGAGAGGAAAGGAGAGGAGGACCAGAGGCAGACGAGGAGGATAGGATAGGATAGGAGAGGAGAGGAGAGGAGAGGAGAGGAGGGGAGAGAAGTCAGGCAGGTGAGCTAGCTGGCTACACCAAGAAGCGGGCAGACAGCCTCCCCCTCATCCTCGTCCTCCTCATCCACCTCATCATCCGTCTCCTTATCCTCCTCGTTATCCTCTTTCTCGTCCTCCTCATCGTCGTTCCCTCTTCCGTGTCATCACTATTAGGCCACCAAGCTGTGAGTCGTCGCGCTGCGTTGGAATCACTGTCGCTGTGGCACTTATGTAAGAGGCAAGTGAAAGTAGTCCCACCAACCATTTCGGTCGTCGGCGGGCTAGCGAGTGCGTTAATTACTCCCAACCCCTCCTCACCCTGCGAGAAGAGGTTGATGAATGTGTCTTCATACACACCCCCTCGCCCACCTGACCGGCGACAAACCGGGGTAAATGCGCTCCCCCTCCCCGCCATCCTCATCAAAAAACAATACAAAGTTCACATGTCGGCTAAATCTGAAGCGAGCGTGGGCCCCGCGATATCATTTTGCATTGGTTTTCGACAGGGGCGGCGGGGATGCGGGCACATTACCTGCTGCACGCAAGCCATTTCGACAGGGACGACGAGGATGCCCGCATATTGCCTGCTGCGCGTAGGCACGCCGTCCCTGTCAGAAAAAGATCCCCAATCCACTGCGTTGCAAGTGTCCCGTCTGCGCAAAGCATCCCGGGAGATGCCTGCGATGACCCGCCGGTGTCCTCCACGAGATTCCCTGGCGCACATGGCGCGCATGGCACGCTTGGGCCTCTGGGGTGCCTGGTGCGCCTGGAACCCGTGGCGCACATGGCATGCGTGGCCCTCATAGGCGAGATGCTGAAACTCGAGTGCTACTTCTGTGTTGGGAGGGCGAACGGGAGTGAGCCAAACAGCTTCCGTCTGGGAAGGGCGTCTTGACCCGCCCCCTACCCCCTCCCACAGGTAGCCCAAGATGGCCTCCAAATACGGCACAGTATAGCTCAGGATGGCTCAAGATCGCCTCCAGCACGTCTCCAAGAGATCCCAAGACGGCTCCAACGAAGGTGTCTCGAAGCCATCCAAGGACGCTCCCGAGAGCCCCAGATTCTTCAATAACCTGTAGCACCTGAAGGGCTTCGACAGGAGACCTGATTAAGGAGCCCATTCTTCTTTAATCGGCGGCCTGCAAGAGATGTCCCTTGGGGGGCCCCCAGGGCCCCCAAGAGGGCCCGAGAACAGCCCAAAAGGCCTCGAAAATGGCTGTGCGTGTGTGCGTGTGTGTGTGCGTGTGTGTGCGTGTGCGTGTGCGCGTGTGTGCGTGTGTGGGTCTGTGCGTGTGTGCGTGTGTGCGTGTATGTGTGTGTGTGTGTGGGTGTGCGTGTGTGCGTGTGTACGTGTGCGTGTGTGCGTGCGTGCTTGTGTGCGTGTGTGCGTGCGTGCGTGGTGTGCGTGTGTGCGTGTGTGTTGTGTGTGTGCAAGTGTGTGATTGTGAGTGTGTGTGTGTGTGAGTGTGTGTGAGTGTGTGTAAGTGTGTGTGTGGGTGTCAGTGTGTATGTGTGTGGGTGTGCGTGTGCTTGTGTGTTTGTGTGCTTGTGCGTGTCTATATGTGTGTCTGTGTGTGTGCGTGTGTAATGGTGTGTGTGTGCGTGTGTGTGTGAATGTGTGTGAGTGTGTGTATGCATGGGTGTGTAGTTGTGTGTGAGTGTGCGTGGGTGTGTATGGGGGTGTGTGGGTGCGTGTGGGTGTGTGCGTGTGTGCGTGTGCGTGTGTGCGTGTGTGCGTGTGTGCGTGTGTGCGTGTGCGTGTGCGTGTGTGCGTGTGTGCGTGTGTGCGTGTGTGCGTGTGGGTGTGTGCGTGTGTGCGTGTGTGCGTGTGTGCGTGTGCGGCTGTGGTGTGTGAGTGTGTGTGTGTGTGTGCGTGTGTGCGTGTGTGGGTGTCAGTGTGTGTGGATGTGCGTGTGCTTGTGTGTTTTTGTGCTTGCGTGTGTGTGTGTGTGGCTGTGTCTGCGTGTTTGTGTGTGTACGTGTGTGTGGGTGTTCGTATGTGTGTGTGTGCGTGTGTGCATGTGTGCGTGTGCGTGTGCTGGTGCTGGTGTTGGTGCTGGTGCTGGTGTTGGCGTTGGTGGTGGTGTTGGTGCTGGCGTTGGTAATGCTGTGGGTGTTGGTGTCAGTGGTGGTGCTGGTGTGTGTGCTTGTGCTGGTAGTGGTGCTGATGTGGGTGTAGGTTTGGGTATTGGTGCTGGTGTTGGTGTTGGTGCTGGTGCTGGTGCTGGTGTGGGTGTGGATGTTGGCGTTGGTGCTGGTGTTGGTGCTGGTGCTGGTGTTGGTGTGGGTGCGAGTGTGCGCGTGGGTGTGGGTTTGTGTGCTGGTGTGGGTGTGGGTGTGGGTGTGTGGGTGTGTGGGGGTGTGGGCGTGGGTGTAGGTGTGTGGGCGTGTGTTGTGTGTGGGTGTGTGGGTGTGTGGGTGTGTGGGTGTGGGGGTGTGTGGGGGTCTGTGGGGGTGATGTGTGCGAGGGTGTGGAGGGGGGGGTTGTTGGGTGTGTGGCTGGGTGGCTGTGTGGCTTTGTGTGGTGTGTGTTGTGTGCGTTGTGTGTGTTGTGTGTGGTGTGTATGGGTGTGTTGCGAGTTGTGTGTGGTGTGTGTGTTGTGTGGTCTGTGGTGTGTGATGTGTGTTGTGTGTGGTCTGTCTGCGGTGTGTCGTGTGTGGTGTGTGCTGGTGGGTTGTGTGCTGTGTGTTGTGTGTTTGTTGTGTGGTGGTGTGTGTTGTGTGGTGTGTGTTGTGTGGTCTGGGTGTGGTCTATGCGTTCTGTGTGGTATGTGTGTTGCATGTCTGATGTGCCGTGGGTGTTGTGTAAGTTGTGCGTGTTTGTGTGTTTGTGTGTGGTGTGAGTTGTCTGTGTGTTGTCTTTTGCGTGTTGTGTGTGACGTGTATGGTGTGTTGTGTGTGTTGCGCGTGCTGTGTGCTGTGTGTGGTGTGTTGTGGAATGCGTGTGTGGTGTGTGGTGTGTGTGGTGTGCTCTGTGGATTGTGCGTGCGTGTTGTGTGTTGTGCGTGTTGCGTGTGATGTGTGTACTGCGTGTTGTGTGTTGCGTGTGCTGTGTGTGTTGTGTGTGATGTGTGTCGTGTGTGTTGTGTGTTCTACGTTGTGTGTTGGTGTGTGTTGTGTGTTGTGTCTTCTGTGTTGTGTGCGTTGTGTGTTGTATGTTGTATGTGTGATGTGTGTTGTGTGTGCGTGTTGTGTGTGGTGTGGGCTGTGTGTTGTGTTGTGTGCTGATTGTATGTGTTGTGTTGTGTGTTGTGTTTGTTGTGTCTTGTGTGTGTTGTGTGTTCTGTGCAGTGTGTACTCTGTGTTGTATGTGGGGTGTGTGCGTGTGCGTGCGTGCGTGCGTGTGTGCGAGCGTGCCTGCGTGCGTGTGTGTGATGTGTGTGATGTGTGTGTGATGTGTGTGATGTGTGTTGTATGTTGTGTGCGCGTGCGTGTGCGCGTGCGCGTGCGCGTGCGTGTGCGTGTGCGTGTGCGTGCGCGTGTGCGTGTGCGTATGCGCGTGCGCGTGCGTGTGAGTGTGCGCGTGCGAGTGCGCGTGCGCGTGGGTGTGCGCGTGCGCGTGTGTAAGCATGTGCGTGTGCGTGTGCGTGTGCGCGTGCGCGTGCGCGTGCGCGTGCGCGTGCGTATGCGTGTGCGGGTGCGAGTGCGGGTGCGCGTGAGTGTGCGCGTGCGCGAGCGCGTGCGCGTGCGGCGCGTGCGGGTGCGGATGCGGATGCGCGTGCGCGTCCGGGCGCAGGTGCGCGTGCGCGTGCGCGTGCGCGTGCGCGTGCGC